GTAGAATTTGGATTCCGAAGGCTTGAACAACAGATATGTGGTAGGGAGGCGGGGTGCCCCAACCCGACCCGGGGCTAAAATTTAATCAAGATGGGAACGAACGGCTAGACGGTAAAACGAATTCTGTGTTATTCTAATTCTATTACTCTAATATTTAAAAAATTATGAAAGATCCACTAAAAAAAGCAAATAAAATTAGTTAAGTAGAAATTTGTACCTTTTAAGCTGTTTTCGCCTCTTATGCACATTTGCTCTTCTATTCATCTTGTTCAAAAACTTAAAATCTAAAAGAAAATATTAAAGCAACATAATGAGTTATCTAAGGATAACTCATGAGTAGTTACACTTCTAAACTATAGTAACCCAGAAAAAAAAATAATATGCATGATGAGCTTTCATATTTCTATAATAAATCTAATAGTATGTTAATGCATGTATGAATGACCTTTTCTAAATTAAATTAGTCAATTCTTCTAGAGACATTTGCTTTACTTTTACTTTATACTATTTACATACACATCTGAGTTATTTAAAGATAACCTAGAAGTAATCACATTTCTAAATTATAATAGACCAAAGAAAAAAAATTAATATGCATGCTGATAATCTTTCATATTTCTATAATAAATTTGATGATATGTTAATGCATATATCAATGACATTTTCTATATGAAAATACCCAATTCTTCTATAGAGATTTACTTTTACATACACATCTGTCTCTGTGAGGATCACCATCAACAAAATCTAACACACCCTTAACCAATATTGTCCCAGCGGCTCCCGTTGGCACAACGGTTAGCAATATAAACATAACAACTGTCTAGGGTGGAAAGACCTTTACCTGCCTCTGGCCGATATTATCGCATCGCGACAATGACTAGCAATGTAAACATCATAATTATTTGGGAAGTAAGATTTGGTATACTCTCTTATGACCGATATTATCTCGCCAACACAACGATTAGTGATCTAACAATTACAATTGTTTGTGGCGGTAGAAAAATCTCTACGCATATGGTTACATTGTTATCCCCTTGCATGTACCATTATGGGGTGAACTCCTCCAAACTTGCACATAAAAGCATTCATATAAAACTAGTTCATTTTTCATAATATATATTATTCTAAGACATCTTCTTTCATCTACTAACATGTATACTTACTCTTACTCTGTTATGAAACTATTCTATCTCTTACTTATATCATACATTTCTTTTTCTAACATGCTTATCGTGTATAAATTTCTTATTATATCTATATTGCATATCATGTATATTATATATATCACGCATCTCATACATATCTTTCTATATCTTTCATAATATCTATCATGTCTAATAATATAAAGGAACTAAACTAGAACAGACATGGAGTCAAACATACATTTTGAAATAAAAGGGATTAATGAAATTTATAACTATTATTACTCATCTCGATTGTCACGCTAGATTCTTAATCTTTGGTAACCAACTGGATGTCGCAATAACTTTTATATGGATATTACTAACATATAAAATATAATATCAAACTTTAAGATTTAAACAATTTTCATTAATCAAATCATTCTTCTTAGCATAGGATTAATTTACGAAATTGTCCAATGACTAGCTTCCACACGCTCACTTCAAACTTGTTGCCTCAGGTAAACAACTTGGAATCTAAAAATAACTTGGGATTTCAGGATATCTTGGCGCATAAAGTGATTTAACTAAAAACATAACCGATTAGCTTAAACGTGCCTTAAACGAGCTTCATGGCGAAACCCAACCTACTTCGATCCTATCAATTCTTCTTCCCCCTTCTTTCTATCATCTCAATCTTTCCTTCCCCTTCAATGATTTTGTGCTAAAGCCCTTACGATAGCTCAAAAAATACTTTTGAAACTTGTGACACAAGTTCGGCGCCTTCGACGGCTACCAGAAATGAAAAAGATGCACGATTTGTGACAAATTTCAAAATAGACGTGTCAGAAAAAAAAAGAAATATCTCAAATAGCGTGAATCCCACTTACCAATTTTGTCATGGAACTCAGAATCGCAAGCTACAACACTCGACAACTCGTTCACCTCCTCTTCTTGCAACTCAGCGGGTTGCGAGTGTACACGAGTCGCGACAGTGCTACAAGGCCCCAATCATAACTCCTAGCTACACCTTCTGTCGAGCGCGATTAAAGCAGGGAAGAAGAAGGGTCGTGCAGTCAAAACTAAGAGGGGGAGATAAGTTTGAATATTTTGAAGAGAATTACCCTATTCAAAGCTTATATTGCAGGGTTAGTCGGTGGGAACAGTAGCAAGAGAGGGTTAATTAAGGTTTAATTAAGTTTAATTAAATTTAATTAACTCATTATCCTATAAATTTATATCTCTCATTCCATTCATAATATATATCTGTTGTTATATATTGAATTGATCGATACGACATGTAGAACTTTATAAAATTAATATGGTTGAAATATGAGGGGATGTATAATTTGGGGTATGTTTTAAGTTGCCAAAATTTTTATTAGATTTCTCAAAACTGGTTATATGGTGCAGGAGGGTCGGGACTGTGTTAGAGACATGGTCCGAGATGGCTGTAACAATGGATGGTGGGAAGGGAAGAAGATTTCTAGTGTCTAGAGCAACAATGGCAAGCGGGAGCACTAGGATCGCAGGGAATGTAGGATGGAATGCAGAAACTATCGAAAATAGCTAAAATAGGTTGTTTCGGGAGGCTACAGCAAGGAAGAGGCAGTCGAGAGCAATGTGGGAAGATGCAAAAGAGTGATAGGAAAATATAATCATTATCTCGGAAAAAAATATATAGCCGGAGCACCACCCAACCCCTTGGAAACACCACTCAATGTAGGTGCTTCACGTTTTCTCGCCATAGAAATGCACTATTCTTTAACATAATGACATCTAGTTTTACCCTTATGTCAAACGTAATGTCCTTGTACTTAAAAACTTGTTTCCACAGTTTGAAGCAACTCAATGAACTCATTCGAATTCATGCAACCTTCAAAATTTGGTAAATCCACATTTACTTCAAAATTAGTCTATCATTTCTATACTCAATACCAAATCGATGTGCATCAACTCTTTGTCGCTTGAGGCTTCTTGATGAAAAGTGTTTACATCCTCACCACCATCTGAGCATTCACAGTTGTTAATGCGGGTTAATTCCTCATATGGTCTCCTTTCAAAATTGATGAACCTCCTTCGCGAATGGATCATTTTTCCCTACATATCATCCAAATCAAGCTCCTGAACACCTCATTAAGGGTTTCTCATTGGTGGTATAGTGTCCTTTTCTTATAATTTCGGCTAACAAGAAATGATGATTTAGGGTTAAGGTTTGGTCTAGGTAGATGATATGTGGATATTTTTTTAGTGAAGGTATTAGGTTAAGCCATATGGATTTTTGTTTGGGAGTAAAAAAGAAAATATTAAAAAAATTTAGGATTTATCACGGTTTGATTCTAAATGATACCAAACTAGGCAAAGAGTTAGTATGAGAATGTTAGAAAATGGGTTAGGAGGGTTGTAAAATGAGGACAAAATAGTAAAAATGACATTGATGGTTGAGAAACGACAACAAAACTACTACCAGACAACAAATCATATGCCGAAACAACAATTCAGCAGCTGCCCAACTTGAAAATAGTGAGGTGAACAACAAAACGTTTTTAAAATATGGATTCACTCCTCGAAAAAAAATAAGCTATATCTCTCCAAATAGGAGAAAACAGGGAAAAAAGTTTTCAAATAACAATATACAAATAGAAGTCCCAAAATCAAATTTTTACAACATATTTATGCTAAGAGAAAATAGATCCCTAATTCCTTATTCAAATAATAAAAAAGAGCCCACATAGGCTGTAATGACCAAAGGACGAGAATTCACGGTTGGATATCATGGGACGACTTTCCATACAATATCTCCAATCCCGTGCAAGCGAGATAGTGGAAAACAGCTCTGCGTCAAATAAAGACATTGATCGTTATTTTAATGTTTAAAAATGTATTTTTGAAATTTATGGTGGAGTGAAGAGAGATTCAAAAGGTTATGATGAAAAAAAATGCTAAGGCAAGCCCAAATTGATCTAATTTAAGTTGATTTAGAAAACCACTTTAAGGAATGGGCTTTTATGAGTAAATGGCTAAAATTGCTTGCTGATATATGGGTAGTTTTGGTTGAGTTTATATAATTTTCAAGGGTTAAAGTAGAAGAATATGTTTTAGTCTTGCCTATCTTGGCCAGAAGCTTTAGGAGAGATTTTATAGTGGGTGTGAGGTTAAGATTGGGTAGTGTTAGTCTTAGAGGATTCTAGAAATGTGGAGACAGAGAATTATATATATACCACACAATTCTTATGCATTTACATATCTAATACCTAGAGTTTTATATTTACATATAAAACACTTGAGTTTCATAATTACATCAAAATATATGAATGAAAAGGTATATATTACGATTAAAAAAATAATATGAAGAGTATTTTTATATGATGTTAAAGATTTAATAATTTATTTACCTTCACTGCTTCACATTCCCATGTATCTTTAAATACATTTCATTTTGAAAAACATCTAGATAAACTCAAGAAATTTTGTTAAAACAATCATCAATTCTTTTATGTGCATCAAGTATTTAACTTTGAAGTTTAAATTCAACTTTTTAATATTCACAATTTTTTTGGGACCTCTCCTTTGATTACTGAATCCTCTCACAATCATTAAATTTCTCTTTTCCTCTATTTTTAGAAACTACTCTTGTAAAGTTTAGTAAATCTACTTCAGAAGTAACCATATAATCATTTCCTTTTTTGAAGTATGAATTCAATATAGTTAGAACAAATTGTGATAAAACTTGGAGAAATTATAAATCAATTTATAAAAAGAAACCAATCTTTCAAACGAAGTTTAAAATGTGAGAAACTATAGAAAATATTAAACCAAGGGAATAAAATCATACTACAAAAGAGAATGAAAACCATCGTTGAGCAATTTGAATACCTGCATGTCTAACCGTATGCTGAAGCACAACCCTTTTTGGTGCAGCCGTACTGTACGGAAAGAACTGGGATGAAATGGCTAAACCCAGCACACTCAGTTGCAACAAGCATCGTAAAATCAATGGCCTGGCCAACCAACGACTGATAAGAGGCAAAATAGGACCCATGCACCAGCCGGTGACAACACCAACAATGGCTGCCACTATAGCATCAGGTACAAAAAATCCTGCAAAAAGAAGATAATTGTAAAAAATATGAGAAAATATCTGAAACAACAAAGAAACAGCAGTTTGTTATTTAAATAAAGTGACTTTTTAAAACAGTAAATTTTTTTATGGGATCAAGGATTGGCTCGTAGAAAGGAATACTGGCACCAAAATACAAGAAATTTTTGTGACTACGGAGGAGAAAATATGATATGGTTCAGTGCAAAAGCATCATATCCATTTTCATTTGGAAATAATGATCCGCAGAAGAAAATAAGAAGCTGCTAAATTTCAACCTTCATTTAGCAACTATAATATGATAAAGCTCTAACATAATAAAACCTCATTTCAGCAGTTTTCAAATGCAGCTTATGGAAATTTGCAAGGATTCTCCACTAGAAAATTGGGTAACTATTCTTCAAATAATCATTCGTATGAAGAGTTGCATATAATATTAAATATAGCAAAAAGGTTTGGAAGATAGAAAAGCTAAGAACACTAACAAGACAAGTGAATTTTATAGAAATTACCAAATGGTGGCGGAAGAGAACCCATCATTCCCATCTTCTCAATTACGAATTGGACAAAAAAACCGCCAAAGTAGACACTATATGTGACACATGGGATTGAAGGGATAACATACCCAGCCAATGATCTGAAAGAAAGAGATATGGCCAATCAAAACATATAATGATAAAAATTGAATTGACCATTTATATAGCTACTTAAGCAGCGAAAAAAGAGCAAGATTAAGTTTTTCAAAATTAATGTGGCGTATAAATGGCAGCCATAAGCAAAATATCAACAAGAACTAAGTAAAAAAACTGCTTTAGGCTCTGCTTGAAGAGAAACATCAATGATAATGACAGCTAGATGTTCCTTCAAAGCCTTCTTGAAGGTTTTTGCAAAAACTTTTACTGGGTAGAAACAGTGTCTTGTACATGATGACATTTTCTAAGGATTAAATGCACAAGGTTAAGCAAGGGATTTTAAGTTTCAAGGGGCAAAGTGCAAGAGAATTTATTCTTACAAAGTAAACTTAAGCATCCTTAAAAAACATCTGGGTTTAGAAAATTGAAATAATTACAAAAATTAATTAAGAAGAATGACAAAATAGTACTAGAAAAAAGAATGTATGCAACAAGAGAAACCATGAAGAAATAAGACTAGGCAAATCACAAATAGTAAATATAATGACAACCATATCAACCAAAAAAGCTGTACAACTCAATTGCACTGAGAGAGCTTTGAGCTACATAAGAGAAGATATTTTAATTCAAAGCAAATTTGGATTTTGCCCAATGTGAAGAGCTTTGCACATTGGATTTTGAGCTACATAAGAGAAGAGCTTTGAGCTACATAAGAAAAAAAAAACTTCTCTTGCCGATCACTTCCCTTCACTTCTAAAGAGAGTACTGTAACGTGGTTCGATGTGCTAAAAAATCGGCCAGTTCATTTATGGTGATTTGCAAGGATAAATAGAGGTAGACTTAAAATTTACTTTCCCTTAACAAAGAAGTGATGAGTAAGAAACATTCACGTCTTAATGCAAAAAGAAAAAAAAAATCTTAGGCAAGTAAAAAATGACAGAATAATTTTATCGAATAATAGCAACAAGAAAGCCAAAAACATTCAAATTTTCTACTTTTAACAGCAAGCTTTTTTCCCCATGAGAATCAATACCAGATTCATAAGCTTTTTTCCCCTATAATAGTGAGCATGATTATACGAGCATAATGAAAATATATATGTGATAAAATACTTTGTTAGTTCTTCCATGTTTCCTTGAAGAACAACGGAATTGAGATGAAGGCTGATATAGCGGAAGGGCACAAATTAATTCAACATCTCGAAGGAACAAACCAAGTAGCTTCATTTTATCAGGGTTATCAAAAAGTATAACAAATAGTAAAACGAGTAGCATGCCGTAATAAATGAATATTTGATGAAGAAACAATGTATCAAACCTAGAAAAAAAAATTCTACTTGGTAATCATCATGTATACCGAATAATGTTTTAATCAACAAAATATATGGTTGATCATTTCATAAATATGGAAAGCATGCAGCTACAAAAAAGTAAATATGTAAACAAATGTATAAATGGAAGTACTTGAATGATTGATCTCCAAAATGCTTTTTTGTTAGACGGAAAAAGAACCATGAAATAAGCATAGAAGAAGACAACACATATGTCAAGTATCCTCCTTCAAGTCCAGCTTGTAGATAAGCCTGCTTAAAGCAAGTAGGACAGGACAAACATCAATTTCACTGTATCATGTAACTAAAATACTTCAATTTAGATCAACGAAAAAGCACAATAATAAGAAACTCCAATGTGAAGTAATGCAAAAACTGAATAGTAAGAAAAACTCCTTTAGTGCTATGTTTAAGTGCCTTACAGTTGATTTTTTATGTTCCAATGATATTGTTACATGACATTTTTAAATCAATTTATGTTCTATAACATATGCCATTAGCAAGCCAATCTCAACCAAAAATCAAGGTCTTTGATTGTAATAGAGTAAAGTAACAAAGTAATGATTGATTTTTAATCCATCTTTGAGTTTATTTGAGTCAAGCCGATCAATTTTAAAGCAATATTCTATAGTGTACATGTAAGCTCACAAACATAATCAATAACACTCAAATTTTCAGCTATTATCAAGCAAGTTTCCAACAAAATTATCAGTTGTATTCTAGTAAGTACCAATCTTGAACAACTAAAGGCTGCACTAATCTTGTCCAAAAATATAAAGGTTATTAAACAATAAAGCCAATAACTGTCATGGTAATCTGGATCATTGTTGACTAAATGCTAATATAAAGTAAAAAATCTAGCTTACCACGGTCATGAAAGCATATAGCCCAAATGCTCCCCAAAAAAATGTTTCATCTGAGAGAACCTTCAAAGCGCACAACAAAAGATATTGTCAACTTAAACAACTGATCACTAAGCGTGTACCACCTTCTTTAATAATGATAAATAAAATAAGACTCTCAATGAATATCCAGTGGCCTCAAAACTATCAAGAATTTGATGTTTAATCAGTTATAATTACTGTGAAAATATAACACATTGAGGTATTTAACTGAAAAATTGAGATCAGTAACAGCGTGAGATCTTAGAACTTAAAACCGTTACTTTATATTCAAACCTCGATTGGCAATTTGTCAGAGGCGGCTTTTTGAGAGACTGGAAGTGATCTCCATATAACTCTTGGAATAAACAAACCCATTAGAGCGCTGGGGATAAACGTAAGGAATGCCAAGTATGGGCGCGCAAACCTGCAATAAAACCCAGGTTTATTGTCAAAAGATGGTTATGAGGATTTTCATATAAATTACAACATAGCATGATCAGGTGCACTACAAAATTACATATTTACATTATCATTAATAAAAACCAAGGTTTATTGTAAAAAACGTAAACATCCATAAATAATGGTCATCTGCCTATTCATCTTTCTCTTGTCCTGGTGCCTTAATATTGGGCACGGCACAATGCTGTAGAAAATCATGCCATAAACACCAACATGAACAACAATAGCCTATTCTAACATTTGGGCCACTTTTATTAATTTTCATTCTCTATTCATACCATCTAAGTGAAGCATACAAATCATTCTATTCATGCTGCCTTTGTTCCATCCCACTTCCTTCCTAATCCTTCAAAATCCACCTGTATAGTGTGGACGTTTTATAGTTTTAGTGTACATGTCCAAATCAATTAAGTCTACTTCCATAGTTATCGGATAGATGGTAGTCTCACAACCCTTCTAATATTCATTATTCAATCTATCATATTTAAATTTGTCTTAATCAATCTTAAAATTTTCAATTATGTCACACTCGACTTCGTAATTTGTTATTTTTTCTTTATTTCACAACACTCGGATCCACACAACATAATTAACCTAGGTGTAGTTTTATAAGTTTTTATAGCTTCAATGATATTCTCTTATCGCATAATACCTACAGAACGCATCCCCATTTTAACAACTCATTCTTAACTCCACCAAAGGTATTTTTATAACTTGAACATACCATTGACACAATTTATTTTTTTTTAATACAAACAAAAAGAATTCGTCGGGCGCTCAACCATAAACCTTCTCAAGGTTAATAAATATAATATAAAGAACATTTCTTTGTTTTATATAGTTTTCATTGCCTTAGGACAAAATTGCTTCCATAATAGAACTTCATGTGATGAAAACAAATTGATTCTCCAAATCTAAAATAAATTTTCTATGTTTCATAACCCTCTTCCATAACTTTATTGCATAACTTATATATTTAATTCCTCTATAATTTCCTTACTTTTCAACATCATTATTCTTAAAATTTATACTAAAATGCTTCAAGTATTTAATGATCTCTTAGCATTCAAATTTCCATTGGAAAATTTGTTTACAAGCTATTGCAACCCACAACTCTTCAAATTTCAGCATTTTTATCATATGAACCTAAACTTTTACTCTATGCATCTTCTTCAAAGCTAAACTCACTTGACATTTTAAGATCAATCAATTATATACCTCATTATTTTGTTTATTATTTCCTCCAAACCGACAGTATGATTTCTTCCTTAAAATTCTGTTCTGATAGTTACACAAAACCCTAAAATAACTTCTTATCTAAGAAGGTTATATTCTAGCCAGATGAAATTTTAGAAGGCCAATTTCTAAAACTATCAATTTTGGCACGTTTCAAAGCATAAACCATGATGGGAGAGGTACACTAACTCTGAGCTGCCGAATAAGAAAAAGTTTTTTACATATATAGGTCCTCAAACAATACTTATTAAATTTTGCGGTCCCAAAAAAATAAATTTACGGGTGAAGGACTTCTGTTACAGCCTCCGTCTCCACCAGCCGTCAAATCTCCAGTCGAAATGCTGACTGCCAGTTCAACAGCATAATCCTGCCCATCCAGCGGCTTGAAGAAAATAGATCCATCAGCTATGCTACCAGCAAGCTTTGTTGGAAGCCGGCCGCGACATCTTTCACATCATGGAGTGCAACATTTTCAGGCTCGTCCTCTCCTCCAACCTCAAAGAGGCCGTCGCACTCAGTACCGCAAAGATTGCGGCAGCCACAGGAAAAGGCTGAGTTGGCAGCCGCTAGACTCAATGATGCAGAAATGAGGCGACGGGCTCTGGTTAGAGAGAAGGGTGCAGTTTGAAGGAGCTTGAGGCCATAGCTGAGGAAAGTGATTTAAGTCTAAGGCTCTTTGAGGAAGCGGAGCGCTGAAAATGAGGAAGCAGAAGAAGAAGAACTGGATATATGCAGTGGCTGCTACTGTTTTATCCTAGGTGTTGCTGCTGCTGTAGTCATTATCTTCAAGGCGCTGGATTGACGGGAGTAGGTCACTGAACCGGCGGTCAGCATTTTGGTCAGAGATTCAGCAGGTGGCGGAGATGTAAGCAGTAACAGAAGGCTTCACCCATAAATTTGATTTTTTTGGACCGCCACATGTAATAAGTATTATTTGGGGACCTCCATATATAAAAACCCCAAAAGAAAAATGGCATGAAGTTGCCGCTAGTACTAATAATTTACATACTAATTAGTTTTTGATACAAATGACACATAGCAAAGCTGCACCTTCACCTGAACTTCCCTAGACGACATAGCATAATTAATTTGAGAGAAATGGTGAATTATAAATTAACAATTACCTAAAGCATATAATAGAAGTATAAGAAAACACAATGTCCACGTTTGATGGTGAAATACCAGCAACACTAGAATGTTCTTTTTTTTTGGTAAGGTTTAGAAACAAACATCTAAGAAAAAATAGGAGCATTTACATATACCACACAATTCTTATGTATTTACATCTCTAAAACCTAAACATTCATATTTATATATATACCACTCAAATCTTTAACATCACATAAAAAATACCACCATCACTATGTTTCTGAAAGTGAAATACACTTTTCATACATAAGTTTACGACAGTGAGGTGTCATAAGTGTAAATATCAAACTTTGAGCGTTAGATATGTAAATACATAAGAATTGTGTCGTATGTATGCAAATTTCCCTAAAATTTAATTTACATACTTTCCATTAAAAGAAATTTAGAACATGTAGAATTAAATTTAAAAGTAGAATAAGTCCTCTTACCAGCTCATTGCATGGCTTGACAGGAGCAATCTTAATACTGAAAACACAACTGGAAGAATTATCGCGAGGATGATAGAAGTAGCATGAATCAGCATTCCTAACAGACACGTCAAAGATATTAAATACTTCAAATTTATGAAAGAAAAAAAAACCATCCATGAAAAATCTACCATAACAAACCCAACAGTTATATAAAGCAAAAGGTGAAACAGAAGCAACTGTGATGTAATATAATCATTCAACTATGTAAACAACCAAAATGGATCCAAGTTCAAAATCTCCATAAATAGCTTTTTTGATAAGGTAATTAAAAAGGAGCAAAATTCTGCAGCATATTGAAATTGAATTGATATGGATCTCTATAATTAATTTTTGGCAGAAGAATAGCATTTTCAACCAAAATAAGCAGATAAAAAACAGAAATAAAGTTGCAAAAGCAATCCCATACAAAGTACCGTAGACATTCAGGTAAGGCAACAGGGAAGGTTTATGAACCTTGGAAAGATGTACCTCTAACTTGGAAAGTGGAAAAAACAAATGGCTAAAAAAAAAAGGAGGATTTACAAACATAACACTCAATTCTTATGTATTTACATATCTAACACCAAAAGATCAATTTTTTACATATATGACACCTTATCTTTCCATGCAAAGATATATTTCACTTTTTAAAAGTTAAAAAACTGGCACTTTTGATGTGATCAGAAAGATTTGGGTGGTATAAATGTAAAAAAGGAAAGTTCAAGTGTCAGATATGCAAATATATAGCGACTGTGTGGTATATATGTAAATGCCCATAAAAAATTGAAGAGGAAGAATGCAACAAGTGCAAGTCTTCTTTTTAATATCCTCACAACTCCAATTTTTTGGTAAGCCAAAAAGCAATGATCTAAAATTCATCATTAATAATTATGGCAAAAAGCCATCTTTATCTCATTTACTTTAAACTGATATAATATTTTCTTATTGCTAATATTTTATTAAAAAAAAGATGAGCATAATATCACTTATAAGAATGAATCTAATAAAACACAACTTGATTATTTTCTTACAAGAAATATAGATCGTCAAGAGTGTAAAGATTATAAGATCATTACAAGTAATGAATTTAAATACTCAACATAAATTATTGGTTTTAAATTTTAAGTGAACCGTTGAAAGATAAAAAATACAATAAAATTTTATTATAGAAGTAGGTGTGGGCATTTAAAAACACACAAATAAAGTTATTTTTATTAGTAAACTACAAGTTATTATGATTTGGGAAACTAATTATGTGGGATAAAGTAACGAGCACTATTAAGCAAGTTCCAAATGAAATACTTGGAGAATCAAAACGAAAAGCTTGTATAAATAAAAATAGTTTGTGGTGAAATAATAATGTATAAAAGAGATACAAATACAACAACAACAACAACAACAAGCCTTAATCCCACTACGTGGGGTCGGCTACATGAATCATTTTCCTCCATTGCGTCCTATTTAGTGTCAAATTTTCATTTAGTTCTAATAAATTAAGATCATTTTTTATACAATAAGCCCAAGTCTTCTACCTTAAGTCTAATCTAAAACATCTATTCTCCTAATCAGATCATCAGATAAAATATAAAAAGTTTTGTTATAAAAATTGGTTTAAATATAAAAGCTTACCAAATTGAAAAAAATATAAAGTAGCCCGTAGGGAGTCTAAGAGAATAATTTATGATGCTAAGAATTCTGCTATTCATTATCTTTATAAAAATTTGATACTAAAGATGGTGAAAAAAATAATAGATATACATACATATATATATATATATATAAATGTTTCATCAGGCGGGAGGCTCATCTAGGGTTTCGTCTCATGGCGAACCCTAGCGTCTACTACGGTGACTTCACGTTTGAAGAAGAAGAAGAAGGGCCTCTGTTTCGTCTTCCGTAGTCTTGCTTAGTGCTTCGTCTGTTTCAGAGAGCTCTGCTAGCCGTTTTAATTTTCTGTTTTGGAAAAGAAATAATTTTTGTAAACATTGAAGATAGTTTTAAATATAAATATGTGATTTTGATTTTTGAAAGTAATATTTTTAATTTTTGAAAAGAGATGAGACCAAACGAGTCTCACATATTGAATAGTTTGGATGACTGAGCGCAATACCGCAAGTAACATACTTATCCCGAAGAATAAACATATCACTTATAGTAGACTCAATCACCTAAACCACAGAATTTGTGACATCAGGTCTGCAAAATATTTTTATATGAGGCCAACAAGTTCCCCTACCTAATATAAGGATTAGATAGGGTTTATTTTACATGGGTTCCAATTTCACTATAGAGGTAAACCCCTATAGTTAATTACATCTCAAATGACCAGGATCACTTAAGAAAATTCTCGATTAAGATCAGTGTTTCTGCCTTTGAGATTTCAAAGTTTAGGTTTCCACGATTGGACATGGGAAAATCAAATGGAAGTGGCTTAAACAGGAACAATTATTTTAAAGAATCCAAATGAACAAATAGTAGGGAATATCACAGATCCAAGGAAAACCCCAGTGACCTCCCAACTATCCTATTGTTTGGCTTTATATCTTTGCAATAATGTTGTTTAATGTTTAATCCTGCAATTCACTTAGAATTTAAGACTTATGTTCGCACGATATCTGATCGTGCAAATAGCATTAAAAAATAGGAGGATTTACGCCGTACCGTACAGTAACCTCAGAATCTTAAAGTGCTAGAACTTATAGTTGCACAACAGGGTTATACAAAAGCCTAAAAGTGATATGTGAGGGTTTACGCTGCGTTAGACAAACCACCTCGAAATCATATGGGTTGTTATTTAAACTAAGAAAAATGCTTAGTGATATGAATTTGTTTTGAAGTTGCTCTTCTGAATGTCTTCATCGTGCTGCCCACTGTATTCGCTCCAAGCTCCTCGTCGTAACACCTCCGGATTCGATGTTAATTTTAAAGGTATATGCAATTGTTTAGTCAACGCTCTGCTGCCTGGTACCTCCTATAAAATCAACTACTGACCTCCTATTTTAAGGTATAGTGTGTAAAAGTAGCAGTAGCAGACAGAAGTATAGTAACCGAATCTTTAAGAAATGAACTAGCATGAATTGTATTAACAAAATTAATACCACTTAGAAAACTCAAGAAAAAACGGCAAATGACCCACAACGAAAGAAAATTCGAGAAAATCGACAGATGACTCACGATGGAAATCTCGAAGTAAAAATGACAAATAATAGCTCAAAGAAAGTCACCAAAAACACGGAAAAATCCCGTGTTAAAGACCACAAGTGCTTTACCAAAAGTTTTGATAAAATCCGACGAAAAATCCGAAGAAAGAAAACCACAAGCACTCGAGTCGGGGCTAGGCTCAAATACTATATATTTGTAGTCGAGGGACGTCGAAGGCTACTATCGGTCACCCAAATGTATAAAACCCGCCACTTAACTAAAAGGGTTCTACTAAACCTAACTTAGGAGAGTACTCCTTAGCCCGGTAATGGTAATCAACAAGTGGACAATCAAGTTATAATATATTTAAAATTTATATTTTAGCATGCAAATAAATTTCAGACATACAAAAAGAAGTCGTATCAATTTTGTAATAAAAAAAATATATATATTTTTATAAATATTGTATCTGTTTTTATCATATAGCTTTGAAAAGTATGATTGTCCACGAGTCAATCACGTCATCGGGCGTAGAACCGCCAACAACCTAAGAAGGTACAAGTCCCCCGTTAGTCATGTGTCGGTGAATGATATTGTCATCTAACAGTTTATCAGATCCCATGATTGAGTCCTGATGTCGTAAGATGGAATATCATTTTCATTCTACTCTATCTCCGGTGTGTCTTTGTCATCATCGCCCTAAACCCCAAAACAAAACCGACCTACTTGCGACCTTACTTGATGGTTTCATATATAGCAAAATGCTATTTATGAACACTTATGTGTCAGATATAAGCACAGAAAAACGAACCAAGAAGCAAGAAAAAAAAGAATAAAAATGGAAATGAGAGAGAGAGAAGGAATTGATCCACCCAAAAGATCGAAAAGATGAAGGGTGAAACAACCCTCAAAACTGTGACGAAAAGATCTGAAAAAGAGAGCCCAAGATCCTTGAATCAATCCAAGAAGGATATCATTTTCTCAACTTTTATAATTGGATCCAAGAAGATTATCCTCTCCAAATTTTGTTTCGAACAGGTCGAAACGGGCCCAAAACTAATGTGACATTTGTTCCCACGGCTTCGGCTTCACCACCTATATGTACTCACACACCCAAGCCTGAACTCAAGTGTGATATTTATGTCATCCAAATTTTAATGTCAAACTTCCAAACTCTTCTATGAATGACAATTTGACAAGTTTTCTTTTAAATTCTTTATGAATCCAATCTATATCATCTCATGTTTTCCAACACAAAGCTGTAGAGGCCTTCAAATTTAACAAATCAACCAAATCCACTAACGACAACTTTCAGAATTCCCAAAATCTTGGAGACACTAAAGCCATCCAATTCCAACTCCAGCCAAAATCTTTCCATATCATATAAGCACGAAATTATCCAAATAAAACCAAATAAGTGCTCAAGGCCAGGGGCAACAGAGAGGGATAGCCAAGAGAGAGGTCCAAGTGCAAAAATAAACCCACGGGTAGGGACAAGAAAGAGAGCAGCGCCCCAAAACAAGCTCACAGTCAGGAACCACAAAGAGAGCAGCCCAGCCCCAAAACAAGCTCACAGCTAGGAGTAGCAGAGAACGGCCAAACAGGACAAAAAGAAACCAGCTAGGATGTTGACGGGTAAAGGCGGCAGATCAAAATCACTAAACCAGCTTTTCAACAAAGGGGGAAGCAGGGAACAACCAAACAAAATAAAAGAGAACCATGTTAATGCTCTCGGGTAAGGGCAACAAGAGAGAACCACCACAACATTGTTATTATGCTCTTTTGATATACATAAGAGAGTGAATGGATAAACTCCCATAAACTATCTAGATTGAAACTATTTTATTGAACAAGACATGATAGTGAATTGATCCATTTATATCAAACATTCCCATATAGAAGTAGATACTGAAATAACAAATTTTGGGATGATAA